ATACATGATTCGCTCATGGGAATAGGAAGCCTGACACTTTTTGATCAAAGGAAACGTTTAGGGATGAAGTCACAGGAATTTAAGGAAGAGAATAATTTTGTCGCTGTGTTTCAGAGCCTCCTCATCCTTGAGGCTGGCTGGACACAGCCTGGCTGTCAGCTGTGCACTCTCCTTCCCAAGGGCCTGACTGCTTGAAGGCACAGAAAAGCAAAACTTCAAAGGCTGGCTTTCAAGGCCAAGACGCCGGGCTGCACTTGCTTTAATCAGGGAGCTGCAGTCAAGAGGAAGGGGCTGTGTGTGTGAACAGGGGGAAACAATCACCCTTGTTAATCAGCCTGTCAAGCCGGCAGCCGTGTCCTTCCACAAAAGAAAACGACGACCCAACTTGAGAATTGCCACTAGCATCCTGGCAGACTTTTATTTTTCTTTGGAGGGGCCACTGCTAGTTCATCTGGCTCAGGGAGTGACAGGGTGATTATCATTTATTTTGACACTCAGGAGAATATTGTGATGGGGAAAGGACAGAAATGTACTATGTGGAGGACCCAACGTGTGTCTATCATGTAATTATCCTTTCTCTGCCATCGGGACGCACGAAGCAAACGCGGATGGGAAGCGCCTGGGCTGGTGGAAATGAATGAGTCCTTCTAAGAGTCCTGTATGTGGGCTGGGGCAAGGGGTGAGGCATCGGCACCACCCACAGGCAGTTGGAACAGCTGCACCTGTGTCTACCTGCTGCACATCAGCCCTGGGCCTGGCGTTGGTGTATGACCATGGAATTCGGTTCCAACAAGGGGCATTGAATGAAAAGCTCAGAGGTGGTAGTGAAGCACGCATGGTTGTGAAAACTCTCAAGGCAAGTTGGCTGGTTGCTCACTCTTCTCTGTAAACAAGGTACTGATGGCTCCGGTCAGCGTGGAATGAGGCAAAGCTACAGTGAATGACAAGAATGCTATCCAACTCGAAGAACACTGATAGGAGACCTACTGCGTGTCAGATACTGAGCTTCCAAAGATGAGCAGAACAGTCCGTACCCTCCAAGAGCTCAAGTTTAGCACCATGTGGCCCATGATGTAAAGGTGTTCTTTAAATGAAAAGGTTCCATCAATAGCAAAGTTGGTGTAACAAAAGGTGATCCTGGACAATTCCCAAGGTTACACGGAAGATGCTTTTTATTTTAATGAATTGTTATAGGGAACAATTGAACCTGGCTTTAAGCCATGCCTTTGTCTTAACCCAGACATGAATACATAACTGAATTTACTTCCGAGTAAGTCCCACCTCTGTGGAGCCTGCAGAGGGCCTAAGAGGTCCTAATGCTGCAGATTCTACCCTTTCTTGGAGATTGGCACTATGTGTTTGCTCAATAAAGGAACTAGAAATCCTGAGGGTGTGGGGTCAGGTGGGAAACCTGCTTGGCTATGTTTGCTGCATATTTCTCAAATCTGTTTCTCTAGAGAACTCAAGGAATCTGATTTAGGATTTGTATCTGCTTTAGGAAATGCTTGCTTAAGAGGTTTATGCAGCCACTGTAGAACCCTCACTATTAGCAGGTGTGTCCAGCCATTGCAGAATGTGGAAGTAGGTAAAACATGATGCAGCCTCCAGGGGAGGGGTTGGCAAGAGCTAAACAGGGTATTGGGCTCAGCAGATAGACTGGGATTCAGGACAAAGCTTTGATTCTAGAGGAAGTAGTACCACATGGAGAAGTGGTGTAGACCACAGAATGCATGTGTGTGATGGTGTAAAGTTGTGTTCTCCGTAGTAGAAACCCAGTCTGCACACTAAGACTATGGGAAAAGTGGAAGGGAAAAGGGAGCGGGGGAAGCAGGACACCTCAAGGATGAAGGACACCGGGACTCGTCCTGCCCTACCAGGTTCCGGAATCTTTGACTGATCTCTAAGCTCCTTTGTCTGAGGCCATTGCAGGCACTGCCGTGACTGGCTCAGAACCCAGGGCAGGGTTTGACAATGGAAGGCATCCTTCTCTGAAAGCTAATGTACCAGGCACTGTACCTAGTTCTTTAAACAGGTCGTCCCATTAAATCCTCACTACAGCCAAAGAGGAAAGTGTTAATATCCTCATGTAGAAAATGGGGAAATTGAGGCTCAAGGAGAGTTGAGCAATGTGCCCATGCTCATGCGGTTAGTAAAGACTTGAACCCAGACCTGTCACCCCCAGGTCATTTTCTTCAGTGCTGCAAACCTACTTACATGACTTAGGCCCTCTGCAGGCTCCACAGAGGTGGGACTTACTCAGAAGTGAATTCAGTTATGTATTCATGTCTGGGTTAAGACAAAGGCATGGCTTAAAGCCAAGTTCAATTGTTCCCTATAACAATTCATTAAGATAAAAAGCATCTTCCGTGTAACCTTGGGAATTGTCCAGCATCACCTTTTGTTACATCCTGTTATCAAATTTGTAAACACAAAGATATTCTCAATAAATTTCCTGGTGAAAACCGAAGATCCGTCAACCCGAGAGATCTTTTTTCTTCCTCTAATCATTTTAATGCATATGTCAGTTGCAAGCCATGATGACTTCATTTTCATACTCTCTATGACTTCAATTAAAGGCAGATTAAATAGGGCGCAGATCCAATCAATCAAGCATTCATTAGACGCTAGCTAAATGTGAGGCACTGGGTCAAGTATACTTAACCTGCCACTGTCTGGTGTGGAGTTGATGGGGTTGAGGCCTCCTTCTATGCCTTTGGCCACACGGAGCTTACTATGGCACGTCCCTGGGTGAGATCAGGACCTGAAATCGGCTTCTCATTTCTGACTGGGGTCCTCAAGTTGTCTGTCTGCTTAGCTCAGGAAGGCAAATAGGTGTCACGTTTCATAGCAGCTCCCATGGACTGAGTGGCTTCCTGGACCACTGGGTAGAGAACAGGAATGGCTCAATGGGAAACAGAGCTGTACTGTTCACTGCTGTCTTCCAAAGGCAAGCGCGACGGCGCCAGCCGAGAAGGTTCCAGTCTTGCCCTGGACCCCTGAAGCTCGCCCTGCAACAGTTTCACAGGGCAAATAGATAGCAAATACACTTTGAAGCATCTGGCTGAATGGCAACATTGTGAAATTAACTGAGACTACTCAACAAACGATCCAACCCTTAGGGTGGCCAGATCCCCCTTGCTTGCCTGATTAATCAGGCCTGATGGCTGATAATCTGGTTCCCGTGGTGAGAAAACAAGCTGGCTTTGGTAACTGGAGAGGCACTGTCATGTACGGGAAAGGAACGCTGGGACGGCGGGTGAACCAGATCAATTCTGTTTCCTTTAGGCTTCAGCATTTTCTGTGGTGAATAGTCCTGCTAGAAACTGTGGGTCTAGTGCTTTGGTCTTTTGTCAGTTAAGTCACACTTTGAGAGTTCAGAAGAGTTCAAAATTGGAAGATGGGGCCCCATATTCACAGAAGAGTAAACTGTGATAAAAAAATTATGGTTAGGCAGGTCACCCTAAACCAAATATGATAGCGATACAGTTGCTATTGTCAGTCATCAAGACCAGCAGGCAAATTTGCCTGATTTTGCCCTAAACCATGCTTTTATTGGAACTTATAATTATGTTCTTTTTAAATTAAATTTTAAGTGCAAAAGCAATACATTCACCTTATAAAAAATAACCAAAACGTCATAAATTAGGCCAATTTATTCCCTGATGACCATCCCAAATCCCAATCCCCTCTCTCCTTCCCGAGATTTAACCACCCTCTGCAGAGTGAATTCACCTTTATGGACCTTTTTCTATACATTTATGAACATGAACTGTACCTGCAAAATATAAAGTATTGTGGAATTTTCTGTATACAAGCAAGATCACAAAAATGATATCATCCGATGGATAACATTCCATTCCACAACTTGACTCTTCTACTTAATAATATATCTTAGAGAGTTTTCTATGTTAGAGCATATTAGATATACAACCTTTTTTAAACTGCTGCAAAATATTTCACAGTGTGGGGATATATCATTTTAGCAATTCCCCCGTTGTTGGACAGCTAGGTTGTTTCCAAATTTTTCACCATTATGGGTAACCCTGCTGTGAAGTTTCTTGCATAAACCCTTTGCTGACATGTGCGAGTGTTTCTCGAAAGTAGATACCAAGAAGGTGGATGTGGTGTTTTTACTATTTGCTACCCAATTGTCCTTGAAAGGCTATGCCAGTTCCCCTTTGTATTGGCCGTGTGTAAGACCCATTATCTGACACCTTTATCCATCCTTGATATAATCAAATAGTCCACACGCTTGTTACAGAATTAGGTCCTGCTTGTCTGGGGAAAAAACCCACCCTGTTACCCTCGTCTTTATGTCCAAAGTGCCTAAAATAACGTGGCTGCTACATAGTAGTGCTCAGACAGCATTTACTCCCGTTTCCCTGTACCTGGAATATCTTTTCCCTTCGGGGTCCCTTCTCCCTCACGTTCACATCTCCTCGCCCCTGGGTGACCACATCAGCAGCCTTTCTCCGAACCCCAGGCTGGGGGAGGTGGTTCTCCTCTGTGTTCGTGATGCCCACTCTCGATGTGCCTGATACGGTTTATCATTTTGCCCTCCTGATAGGCTCTCTCTCCTACTGATCTCTGAACTCCTGCACGCCAGGGCATGTGTCTTTTTGCACCTCTATTTCCCCAGCGCCCCGCCCAGGCACACGTAGTAGGCATTCAGTAAGAGCTTTTAAAATGAAGGTCATCGTCACAGGGCCACATCCACAGTGCAACGAAAGCCCATGAAAATAAACAGCACATCAGCAGAAGGGAAAATTAGGCAGTCGCTCTGTTGAACAGCAAAGATTTTTTTCTTTATTTCAGGTCTTTTCATGTGATGGAGTGGGGAGGGAAAGCTAAAATATAGCAAAGCTCAGGAAATACTTTTCTTTTTTAATTTGGAAAGTGATTGTCACATTCCTCCATTGCTGTTGCCCGGGTGGGGAAGAGGCTCTGACTGTCGCTGCCCCCACGGTAACCATTTCCTGTCCTCTGTCCTGCCCCCGTAGGGACCACAGTGATGCGGATGACAGCCATTGATGCGGACGACCCAGCCACCGATAATGCCCTCCTGCGGTATAATATCCGTCAGCAGACACCTGACAAGCCGTCTCCCAACATGTTCTACATCGATCCTGAGAAAGGAGACATTGTCACCGTTGTGTCACCTGCACTGCTGGACCGGGAGGTGAGCTGAAAGGAATACATTCTCTTTTTCATGAGAATAGAATGTGGATTTCACACAAGGGAAGACATGGGGCTTCAGTCAACAGTGCTTTCTATTGTGCAGGCGGAAATGCGGTGTGTATACGTGGTTGGGCAGGGAAAATCTATAAACGGAAATGAGATAGTGCGACCCAGGAAAACACACACTGCAAAAGGCCAAATCACTTGGAACCGTTTGCATTCGTTCAACGCGATGCCTCTGTTTCCTCTCCAACCCCTATTCTTTAGGCCGTAGTAGTGCTGGACTCTGCTCCAGCCCCCGCCTTTCTGCCCGGAGGGAGGGGAGTGGGGAGGGAAGGAAGGGGACTGTGTCCAGGATCACCGAGGCTCTCCTTGTCGCAGGGTCAAGTGGCTTTGCCTACTTCTTTTCTTTTTCCACCCCTTTGCTGCAGGCGTCACTGTGTCCCCTGGAACCTCTCTCTTCCTCAGTCTCTGTTCTCGTCCCTTAGGCTCTCTCCGTGAAATCTCCTCCATCTTCTAGGCCATGTGTCACAAACAGGTGACCCATGGATGACAGTCCACACGCCTGCTCTTTGGTTTTGCCCATGGTATTTTAACGCTTTTATAATTAATTGCTATATCAAAATATTTAGATTTCAAATTTCTAAAAAAAAAAAAAAAATCCTGTTTGCAGAATTTTTTAAAAACCAGAGATTCTGGAACCTTTGGGCCCAGTTTCCACACATGCACAGTCAGTCCCGTGAGATGTGACATTACATAGATCCGGGTGTCAGCTGTCCCATTTAGATGGGACATGTGCTCCTCCCCTGTTTATGTCCCCTTCTAAATGTGCCCCTCTGGCCCTGCCCTTTCCTGAGTTCACGGTCCACCTTGTAGCTCACCGTAAGCTACCTTAAGTACCCCCTTGGCCCTCCAAACACAGCATAAGCCAACTTGTGGATTCCCATCCATCCGTCACCCCCTCCATCCACCCCAAATCTCTCCTGTTCTGGAATTCTCTGTTCCTGACATTGCTCCACAGACATGGCACTGCAGAGTCACCTTTGACCTTCTGCAAGCACCGTCTGCTCCATACTAAATGTTGGGTTTCCCTCATGGGCTCTCTGCATTTGCCCCTCAGTATTTTTGATTAAATAAATCAATGGGTCTTTTCCTCTCCTTTCTCTGCTTTTATATGTTGTAGCTTCTCACAAGATTCTGGGTTAGATCAACCCCCTCTAAGAAGCCGTCCTCACCCACCTCAGTTTCCCACTGTCTTGTCCTTCCTTTGATCTCTGACCACCCTTACCTGTAGCCATCGTATGGCACTTGCCATGTGTTACTTTAAGTTGTCATTTGTCTCTAAAGAATATTCCCTTTCTGTTGGTCTAGACCTGAATTGTCCAATATAGTAATGACAAGTCATATGTGGTTATTTAAATTTGTATTTATGTATTATTTGAAATTAAAATGTGTAAGTCAGTTTCTCGGTCACATTAGCAACATTTCAAGTGCCCAGTAGTGACATGAGGCTGCGCGCTTCTGTACTAGTCAGTGCAGACATAGAACATTTCCATCCTCACGGAAAGTTCTACTGGGCAACGTTAGCCTTGACTGTAAATTTCTTGAGAACAGACTGTGATCCCATGCATGTTTGTGTCCCACTGCCCAGCACGGCGTGAGCACTCCGAAAATTCCTAATCGTGTGTTTGTTGGCACAGAGGAGGAAAGGCAAAACTGAGTTGGAAATGACCCTAAGACTTTTTACTTGAGGGGTGGGAAGCAGCTAGAAACAGGAAATTATTGGAAGGGAGAAAAGAAATTTACGTTGAAACTGGGATTGTCATTTGGAAAATGTAATTGTTTCTAGTTAAGAAATAGAGAAGTAAAAAAAATATTGAGTTCATTCCCTTCATTTTGTCTCCCATTCTCTAATCCTCTCTATTTTTACAACTGATGTATTTTCTTCTTCTTTGGAGGCAAGTAATGACTTTCCAACTCTTTATTCCTCACTCAGCATGCTTGTGCGCACACACGCGGGCTCTCGCTTGCGCACCGGCTTTCCCATGACCCTAAATGCTCCCAAAGGTTCTTGCACGTTCTTACAGAGCAAAGATGAAACACAGCGATTTCTCCATCTCAGCTTAGTGTATTATTCCACTTTTTAAGTTTAATTTGAGGACAAATATGTTTCCAGCTCATGATCTTTCCACTTGAGCTTTTGTTAACTTGCAATAAGCATATAATTATGTGAGTTAAGCCGCAATATATAAACAGCCCTCCTTCAAAAAAAAAAAAAAGATAAACGCAATTTAACTGAAATTGGAAAATCAATGAAAATGAATGAAGAGTGTCACTTTTCTGTGAGGGTTTCCAGAGTTCAGTGCTGATTCAGGCAACATCGGTGCAATGCAAAGGAAAGAAATGTCCCTAAAGTTAGGCGAGCCTCATCTGTTTGCTAGTGCTGTGGTGAGCTCTTCAGCGTGTTTGCTGAGGAGGTAAAACGTGACTCCCTGTTCCTTGTCTTTAAAGGGACAGCACTTGCAGCCAGTGGTCTCTCCCAGGGTTTGAGATGTTTCCGTCTCACCGAGACTCAGCAGCCGGGCGTGGTGGCATGCTCCTGTAACCCCAGCGACTTGGGAGGCCGAGGCAGGAGAATCGCTTGAACCCTGGAATTTGAGGTTGCTGTGAGCTAGGCTGATGCTATGGCACTCTAGCCCAGGTGACAGAGTGAGACTCTGTCTCAAAAAAAAAAAATTCTATTTGGGACCCTAAAAACTTTTATATAATTCACATCAATTTTAAGTTTGGTTACCCTGTCTTCATTCATGTATCTCAAATAGTGTGTTTGAGCACTGAACATGGTGAGTGTAAGCAAATAAATCAGGGACTCCTTCGAAGCTGGTGGCTGCAGTGATGGGGCAAACACTTTGCTCCGGTTCCACCTGAATGAGGGGACAAAGCAGACATCTCCTGGCTTGTTGGGAGTGGAGCCTCCGGGAGCCTGCTGGTTGACATGAGCTCAGTTGATGCAATGTCAATTCTTCCTTTGTATTTTCACTGTACTGCATTTCCTTTTATATAAGTACATCTCCCAAGGAGGACCCCTAGCAGGAGGTGTTTACTCAAGGCACAGACAGAAATGATATTAGACATCTGAGCAGGTGGCAGGCACTGGGCATTTTCTTTGAACCTGCCCATTTATTCACCTTTCCTGCCTTTCACTTGTTTACTTTGCAGTAAAGCTTGTGAATGAGGATCGTCCAGTACTGCCATGGAGAAATGAGCTTTATTATGTTACCACTCTGGCTGTTGTCCTTTCTTCTGAATCACCTGGGCCAACCGAGGCAGGCGTCCTCATCTGATCCGCTCCTTTTCACGCTCCAAGCGTCAGGAGGAAAGAGTTGTCTCTGGCTTGTTCTGTGACATATTCCCAGTCCTTAGCACATGAGAGATGCTCAAAAAATATTTGTCGAGAGATGAAAGACAGGAAGGATGTGAGGAAGAGAAGATTCACAGCTGAGCTGTGGGAGCAGGTGAAGTGATCTTCCACATCATCCGTGCCCTTCCGTGTCATAGCTCAGTGTTAATGGGCATCACGTTTCCCTTACAAACATGGTACATTTTCCATTACAAGCTCATCCATTCACTCTTGCTGAAACCCTGCCAGGACGTACACTTCCTGGAGAAAGGAACCTTGGACCTTTATCCTGTCTCTGCGTTCTCATTGCCAAATACAGTGCCAGACAAGTAACAGACACTCGGTAGAGATTTGCTGGGTGGGTGAGTGAATAGGTGGGTGAGTGACCTGTGTTCCTTAAGTTTGTCTGATCTCAGAACTGCAGGATCCACATTCGAGCATGGATATGTAAACAGAGGAAGTTATTTTATTTTAGCTGAGAGCTTAGCCTTACCCTGTGTAAGTATCCAATGATCACTTACGCTTACCTTGCGCAGGAACCGCACTTGGCTCTGAGAAACAGTGCCTTGGTCTACTTGGTGACTAGGATGGGCGTGAGGATCTGTGCTTCTTGCTTAACTGAGGAAATGTTCAGAGAAAATAAGAGCTATATATCCCACTAAATGAAATTGGGTTCACGGGGGCACTGTTTTATTCTTTTCTATAGCCATACTTAGTCCCTCCATCCTGGCATCTCTTTCTATGTTTTTAAGCTATGTCTGGCCGCGCTACAAAATAAAATCAGATAAAGTCCCTCGCATTTGTGAAATGGTTTATTTAGTTGATCATCTTGGCTGTAGACTGAAATTCATCAGCTGAAATCTGCCAACTCTTCTGAACACAGCCACAATTTGCAACTGCTCAGAGTAGCTAATGGTCAGGCTTTTGTTGTTGTTGTTGTTGTTGTTGTTGTTGTTTTTAAATAGAAACAGTCTTCGGGACAGACCCTTAAAAAGCAATCTTAACATGTGCCTTGTGAAAGTATCGTTAGTCTTTTTAAGGAGTTTGAGCTGAGCACTTTTCTATCCTTGTTTGAATTTGTTTTTATCATGTATTATTTTGCAGATAATCGAAGGAAAATGATATCCTGCTCGTGAAAATGTACATACAATAAAAGATATTAGGACTGTGAATGTAATTTATTTTCTATTTTCAGCTGGTAAAGGATTTTCTGAAACTTTATAATGTCCAAATTTTTAGGCCACATGTGAAAACTGAGAAAATTCCTTTCTTTCCCCGGTGTCACATAAGGACTGGTTTATGTGCATTTATTTGCTATGAGATATTCAGGAATCCTCAAATATGTCAGAGAAGAAAACGGAAGATTGTTAGGTGGAACATCCTATGCAAAGTGGTCGATGAGTGTGGATGCGTAGCTGCAAGCTGAAAGAGAACCATGTGTTTGCTCAAAATGATCCACGTTAAAATATTGTCACATACTTCAGAAATCTGTGAAAATGACAATATCAAGTCAAGCTGCCTAAAATCATAATAATAATAATTATGGCTAACATTTCCCTCAATGCCTTAAATGAAAGATATAGGTAGTAGTCATACTTTTA